CTGCTCCCGGCACTGCTTTCTTGACAGTTTGAGGTCCCCCTGTCTCACTGCTCACTTCTGTCTTTTATATCTCAAGAGATTGCCTCAGGACACAGTCCAGTCTTGTAAATTGAGTCCTGCCTCACTAACACAATTGCTGCACATCCTCCCTCATTAACATCATAGAGGCAGGATTTACCACACATGGGAAAATCACACACTACCGGGAATCATGGCCCAGCCAAAGTGATACACACATTTTTGGGGGGACATAATTCAAACCATGACACTTAGTGATGCATACATAGATGGAAAAGTTATTTTTAAAAGCAAAGACATAATTATAAAAATGAAAATGGTGGTTACCTAGAGGGGTAAGGGTTGTTGGGGGCTTGTTAGAGGCTTGTTGGGGCAAGGCTGGGACTAGGGTAAGGCAAGTGAAGCACTTGGCCTCAGGCACACAACTAAAGGAGGAACCAAAAACTCAATCATCAAGATGAGTATTATTTTAATGCAATCATTTTTTAAATATCCAAATAAATGAAAAAGTCTCCAATGAAGAAAATGTCAGTGTTAAATAAAGATCTTTCTCTTGACCTGGGTAGTGGGTTATATGTGTGTTTGCTTTCATCGGGCTGTATGTTTATGTTTAGTGCACTTTTCTGTACATCTGTTATATTTCAAAAAATTGTGAAAGGTGGTAAAAGTGGATACAGGTAGGCTCTATTTTCTTGTGATCTTTGCTTAAGTCCCATATTTCTGTCCTACACTGAGTAATTCTCTTAGTTTGTTTTAAATCCTGTGACTTCTTTTGTAGAACAAAAATTACATTGCCAAATAAAATCTCCAGTGATTTTGACAGAAAGTTCAGATTGTTCATCAGAAAATTGGCTCTTTGCTTGCTATATCTTTACACCCATATGTTCAGTTTAACTCCAGGTATCAACCTGCCTTATAGCTGTGGTTCATACCAGAGCAATTACCCTTCATTAAAATGGTTGGTTCACATTAGAACAATTATCTAGTTGACTGCTCTTGTGTAAATGTAGTCATGGACATGCCATAGTTGTTCATGTTTCCTAACAGTTTTTCCATTCTTTATCCCCTATTTGATACCCACCTAGTCACAGAGATTAGGCTTTTCTTCTTATAAAGAGTTAATAAATCTAGCTAAGTATTCTATAAATTGCATTTGATGTTATATATGAATCAGCAAAATATTAACAGAATAAAAAAAATTATGTAATGTATTATTGTTGAACCTGTGTTGACACCAGAACTTCTTTGGCTGCTTTTGGTACTTGACGGTGCTAGAAGTACTGAAAATCTGGTTCTTACACTATTGCAAATAGAATATAGATTTTTTAAAAAAAAAAAAAGAAACTGAAAATAAACTGACAGATGATATTTAGCACTTGATATTATGTGTTTCTTCAGAATATAAAACATCTTTGGCTAGATGGAATCTTGGAGGGAAGAAAAAAACCGGATAAGTCACCTGGAATATTGTTCAGTTGTTGTATTTGTTTATCTGCCTTTTTTTTTTTTCTTCAAATATACTTGATTTGAATTCGATCAACCAAAGCCTCTCCTGGCGTCTGCTTAGTAGATGTTCACATCAGTAAATTCTTAAATGATATTTTTTTAAAATTATCTTTATTATAAGTGTAACATATTCTTTGTTCAAACTTTGAAAAATTATTTATTTATTTACAACATATTCTATTCATACTCCATTCAACAAATATTCATTGAGCACTACACTGTGCCAGGTATGAAAATAGGCAAGGGTATAATGTGGATATAAAGTTGCATGAAAATAGATTCTTACCTCACGGAACTTACAGAATAGTATTCTGATTGTGTCATCTCATTTTTCAAAGTTTAATAATCTGATTATTGAATATCAAAGAAACTATCATTTTTTCCCCAGAGATAACCACTGTTAATAGGTTGCTGTATAACCTTCTATACCATTTTTATAGTATGTAAACATTTTTTTTTTTTTTTACCAAAAATGGATTATGCAAATAATTCTAAAACCTATGTCTCATTGAAGCTTTACATCACATTACTTATAGATCTGTGATGTTCTTTTTAAGACTACATAGTATTTGAACTTATAAATGTACCATAGCTTATTTGCTCCTTATTGTTGGACATTTAACTTGATTTTAGTTTTTTACTCTAAAATGGTGCTACAACGAACACCTTTTACCTGTAGACATTTGGAGCCAATAGTATGTTTCTTAAATGCCTAAAACAAATTTTCTCTCTTTCACTTTACAAATAATCATGAGACACTACAGTTTTGGCAAGAATTAAAAAAAAAAAAATTCTCCCGCACACAGGGACATTTTGGACCAAGGTTACTTAATGAAAAGTCGTTACCTGTCTGTTGTTCCTTGGCTGTGCTTGGAAAGAAATCTGCAAATTCCCACATGAACACTTAACAGGGTGGGATAAAGTTTTCCTTCCCCTGGTGGCAACTTTTCTTCTTAGCTGTTTTATTTCAGGAGGGTAGTGTTTACCCCTCTACTCCATCCTGGATACATAAGACAGTCTAGAAGAATAATTTGCTTAGATGACCAGTCTTCATTTAGTAAAAAAAAGGAATGAACCTCAAGGAAACCAAATCCAAACTAAATCTGCCAATTTTATTTTCCTTTTCACAAACTTCCACTGTTGCTAGGCAGAATCTTTTGTACTTCAGTTCTCCTCTTGTGCGAAGATAATAGTGTTTGGTTATGAATCTAAATTAGTCAATTATCTATAGATAAAACCATTTTTCTTTTTTTTTACATAACATGCTTTTTATTTTTTTATTGTTGTACTTTAAATGAAGTTTACATTTCAAGTTAGTCTCCCATACAAAATTTTTATACATACATTGTTATGTGACCCTAACTGCTCACCCCATTCTGCGACAGCACAGTCCTCCTTTCCACCCCCAATTCCCCATGTCCATTCAACCAGCTCCTAACCCTCTCTGCCTTCCTGTCTCCCCTCCAGACAGAAGCTACCCATTTAGTCTCTTGTATCTACTTGACTGAGCTAAGAGGCACACTTCTCACGAGTATCGCTTTATGTCCCACAGTCCAGTCCAATCCCTGTCTGAAGAGTTGGCCTTGGAAATCGTTTTAGTTCTGGGCTGATGGAGAATCCAGGGGCCATGCTTTCTCAGGTTCCTTCAGTCTCAGACCATGAAGTCTGGTCTTCTTACTAGAATTTGAATTCTTCACCCCCTCTTTCTGCTGTTCCATCAGGGACCAAAACCATTTTTCTTAAAATATCTTTATTATATTTTATGTATAATATACATTAAAGTGCTCAGCTGCTAACCAAGAGGTCAGCAGTTTGAACCCACCAGCCGCTCCATGGGAGAAAGATGTGGCAGTCTGCTTCCATAAAGATTACAGCCTTGGAAACCCTATGGGGCAGTTCTACTCTGCCGAGTAGGGTTGCTGTGAGTCAGAATCAACTTAATGGCAGTGGGTTTGGTTTTGGTATAATATATGTATACATAATATATACAAATGTATAATAAACAAATACATAATACATAATATTAACAATATTATACATTTTTAGTATTGAGAATCCAGGTGATTTTTCTTTACAGTCTTCTAAATCAGGCTGGAATTTCAAGCTATTTAGGAAATTCTTGTTTTAATTCTTTTTATTCACTTAGAGTTTGCAAATAGAAGACTTTACTATTGAATTTTGAAACTTAGGCATTTGCTGAAAACAAACCAAAAAACTTTTCATGGTGCAGTTTGTTATGGCATAACAGCCATAGATTTGATTTTTTAAGTCATTCATATGAAGACATTTTGAAAACCAAAGGCTGTTTTTTCTTATAAGTAAGGGGTCACTGAGATGGGAGTTTTAAGTTAATATAGACCATCAATACAAAAAATGTAAAATTGGTTTCCGGAATTTATTTTTCTCTGTTCACCAAGGAGAATGAATTAAGGGAGTCAGAATTAATGTAGCTAAAAATGCTCTTTAACAGCTTGTCCTGCAGTCTGTTTGTACTCTTGTCCTATGTGTTGATTTGATAATTTTGTAAAGACTATGATGTGTTAATGGATTATTTAACTTGTTTGTTGTGGAAATAACAATTCTCTCTTTTTTAATTTCATGGTAGAGTGAACATATATTCTTGATGATTTTTCATTTATTGAATAACATACTAAATATTAGTATTTACAATTAAGCAAAGTTAAAATGTAGTTGTTGAAAATGGAAGATTAGACAGTTGTCCCATTTTAAATTGATGGGTGCAAAGTGTGTGTGTGTTTTATTTTTCTCTTAGGTTACTGTACCATCATATACAATATCTGTGAATGGAAGATCAAGAGTCAGCCATTCCATGCCCCCTGATGCACAGGACGGCTGTTAAACCTTGCCCTACTATACTGCACTTCATCACCTCCATTTCACAGACCAACTTCATACTAATGGAGAATGTTTGCAAATATATATTCAGATGTATACTAATATATTATCTATTAAAGTATAAGAATTTTCTCTGGGCTTTTAATGCCAAAAGAATGAGAATTTATAATTTATAATTATTTTTTTGGTCTCTTTTGCCTTAAAAACTGAATATGCTGCTTTGGAACTTAAGTCAAGGTGTAAATGACTTTCCTTTTTTAAATGAGAAATAATCACCTTTCGTTGATTTCATTTACTTATTGAAGCATACTCTGTAGTGGTGACTTAGACAAAAGAATAAATTAAGATTCATAGACTTATATATTTGTTTGCCACATAAACTGCTAGAGAAACAGATCTGACATTTGCTGCCTCAATGTTACTGTTTAATTGGAAACTTTTATAAGTTTTGCAAGTCTGTTTTGTGCTGAAAGAAGGATCTAGAAAATTAGTAATGTCAAGTGTATTCAGTTCAACAGTTATTTTCAATGATAAATCATTTAGTGTTCAAGACATTTTTATGTTTTTTATGTAATTACAAAATCAGTGTCAAATTCATGGGCACTCGTGGTATTTTAATATTTTATTAACATGGAACACTTTGTTTTTTAATCTTTAGAACTTTAATTGCACAAGGAGAATTTTAAATATTTTCTGTATATAATTATGACAATGTCACACAGATATTACACGTACTGTGTGCCAGAAGCCTTAGAAATCTTCCTGTGAAAATGTTGATATATGGTGACAGTTGTCTCACATTCAGTATGTAGAGAGGAATAGGGCTTAGTTTATGTCCATAATGGAAAATTTTAAAGACTATTTGGAAATTCCAGAAATCCTGGTTTTAATTTAAGTAAAATGATAACGTCATTATGTAGTTCTGATGCTAATAATCTAAATAATAATATATATGTACATTAAAGCTAAAACTGTTAAGGAAAACAATGCCTAATTTGTTGGCTTATGTCTGTTCTGGGTCTAGTGCTTGTCGGTGTTTTGTTCCTAGTTTAAGAATTTAATTGCTCACGCACTCTAAGAGCTGTGGTCAGACAAGCTGATTGTGAAGTTAAGGTCGTTTTCACTAAAGCTACTGGGATAGCTGCCTCTTTGGAAAATGTGTTGATTTTTATTTTCCTGTTTAATAAAAGCAAGCTGTATACTTGGGTTGCATATTTTAAAGTAGTGTGCGCCAACCAGGATATTTGTGTACCTCACCTGATAAACGCATCTCTATCAGCCAATTACCAGACAAGTGATAGTAAGACTTGGCCATTTATCAGAACTCCCTGGTTTACAAAACATTTTATATGTATTTTCTCATTTAAACCTTTTAAATCTTTGACATTAACACCCCCAACCAAACCCACTGCCATTGAGTTCATTCCAATTCATAGAGACTCTAGAGCCTCACTAATTCCATTTACAGATACATAAACTAAGGATTCCAAAAACCAAACCCGTTCAATGCCGACTCATAGTGACCCTATAGGACAGAGTAGAAGTGCTGCCCCATAGGGTTTCCAAGGAGCGCCTGGTGGTTTCTAACTGCCGACCTTTTGGTTAGCAGCTGAACACTTAACCACAGCACCACCAGGGCTTGGTAATTAGCAGCTATAGAAAGGTTACATCTCAGAAGTGGCAGAGTCAGGATTTAAGTCCAGCATCCTGACTCCAAAATCCGTGGTCTAAGCATGTAAAAAGCTTAGCAAAGTTCCTGACAATGCGTGTCTTAATTATACCAATTATATGAAATATAAAATATGCAAAATAATATTAAATATCGTATATGTAGAAAAATACACAGGTTCTGCTGGTGGTTACCTCTGGGAACTGAGAAAGGAAGATTGGATTGAGGAGAAACGGGGCATCAATTTTATTTGTAGTAGTTTATAAACTACTGTTTGAAAGAAAATACTTGTTATAATCTAGACTTTAGCCTACTTGAAATATTATAATTAGAAAATTTAGATCACAGGGGACTTAGGAAATTATATACATGAACTGTTAGCCCATAATGTTCAGAACAGTTGCCTTATGCACACCATTTCAGGAGAAAAACTTGCGCTGCCTACGGTAAATTGGGAAAAGAAATTTGTGTCAAGTGGTTTTCACCAGTCATATCCTCAAGTAACAGCAAAAGCAAGATATAGGAATAATCTAGAACCAAATTTTAATTTCATTTTTAATGTTTGGCATCTAGGCATTTAATTTTTTTTTTTTTTTTCTCAGTTCAGTGATTTATAAAATTTTAAGTTATAATCGATTCTATATGAACTATAGGATATAAAATGAAATACCCTCTTTATTGTCTCCAGCATCCCACCTCCGTCTCTGGAGATAATCACTGTTAACACTGTGATATTAACGCCTACCCAAACCAAAAAACCAAACCCACTGCCGTCGAGTCGATTGCGATTCCTAGCAACCCCATAGGGTTTCCAAGGCTGTAAAATACGGAAGAAGACTGCCACATCTTTTTCCTGCGGAGCCACTGGTGGTTTCAAATCACTGACCTTTTGTTTAGCAGTCGATCCGTTTAACCACTGCGCCACTATGGCTCTTCTGTAATGCCTATAATGCCTATAGATATATCCAGTACATATCTACAGGTTTGTGTTGGGCTTTTGTGTTTTCCTTTTTTTACATAGAATCACACTCTAATATGATTTAGCAACTTAACCTTTTACACCACCAGTGTTTTTAAGAGCTTCTCTTTTTGTGCATCTATTTTCGTCCCTATCATAATTCAGTAAGCCATTCTCCTATTTGTTTCTTGCTGTGGTACACAGTGCTGGCTAGCATAAAGTCACGGGGCTCAAATCACAGGTCTGTCATTTATGAGTCGTGGGATCTTGGACAAATTATTTTCTCTCTGCCTCATTTTCTCTTCCTGAAAAACTGAAGAAATCGTCTCGCTACCTCATGTGGGTGGTAGTAAGGATTAAATGAATTTTAAAATGTTTGGTACATGGAACTCATTTTTTAAAATCATCTTTTTAATATTACTGAATAAGTATTATTTATGTAACATACTCCTCATTCTTATGAGGACCGACCCTCCCTCTCATTTCACCTCTAAATGTATTGGCAGGTCTGGCCTTGGCCACCAGGGCTTGGCAGCAGAATCTACAATCTGCTGCCCTATCTAAGTCCTTGTAACAAGACCTATCTTTCCTGATATTTACAGTTGCTTTCACTTGAAACTGAAAGTCTAATTGAAAGCAATTATTTTTCTAATGCTTGTTCATTTTTTACCCTCTACCAGTAAAGATATTCGTCGTAAGTGCTTCAAGTCCTCTTCACTTTCAGCAAGCAAGGTTGTGTCATCTGCATGTCGCAGGTTGTTAATGAGTCTTCCTCCAACCCTGATGCCGTTCTTTTTCATATAGTCCAGCTTCTCGGATTATTTGCTTAGCATACAGGTTGAATAAGTATGGTGAAAGGATATAACCCTGACACACACCTTTCCTGACTTTAAACCACACAGTATCCCCTTGTTCTGTTCAAATGACTGCCTCTTGGTCTATGTACAGGTTCCTCATGAGCACAATTAAGTGTTCTGGAATTCTCATTCTTCACAATGTTACCCATAATTTGTTATGATCCACACAGTCGAATGCCTTTGCATAGCCAATAAAATACAGGTCAACATCTTTCTCGTATTCTCTGCTTTCAGCCAAGATCCGACATCAGCAATGATGTCTCTCATTCCACACCCTCTTTTGAATCCAGCTTGAATTTCTGGCAGTTCCCTGTCAAATGTACTACTGCTTTTGAATGATCTTCAGCAAAATTTTACTTACATGTGATATTAATGATATTGTTAGATGATTTCCACATTTGGTTGGATCAACTTTCTTTGGAATAGGCATAAGTATGGATCTCTTCCAGTCGGTTGGCCAGGAAGCTGTCTTCCAAATTTCTTGGCGTAGACGAGTGAGCACTTCCAGTGCTGCATCTGTTTGTTGAAACATCTCAATTGATATTCCGTCAACCTTTCTTGCTGAAAGTGAGCAGGACTTGAAGCACTTATTGATGAAGATCAAAGACTACAGCCTTCGGTATGGATTACACCTCAGCATAAAACAAAAATCCTCACAACTGGACCAATAAGCAACATCATGATAAACAGAGAAAAGACTGAACTTGTCAAGGACTTCATTTTAACTGGATCCACAGTCAACACCCATGGAAACAGCAGTCAATAAATCAGATGATGCCCATTGCACTGGGCAAATCTGCTGCAAAAGACCTCTTTAAAGTGTTTAAAAGCAACGATGTTACTTTAAGGACTAACGCATGCCTGACCCAAGCCATGATGTTTTCAGTCGCCTCATAAGCGTGTGAAAGCTGGACAATGAATAAGAAAGATTGAAGAAGAATTGATGCCTTTGAATTATGGTGTTGGTGAAGAATATTGAATATATCATGGACTGCCAGAAGAATGAACAAATCAGTCTTGGAAGAAGTACAGCCAGAATGCTCCTTAGAAGCAAGGATGGTAAGACTTTGTCTCACATACTTTGGACATGTTATCGGAAGGGATTGGTCCCTAGAAAACAACATTGTGCTTGGTAAAGTAGAGGGTCAGCGAAAAAGAGGAAGATCGTCAACGAGATGGATTGACACAGTGGCTGCAACAGTGGGCTCAAGCATAATAACGATCAGGAGGACGTTGCAGGACTGGACAACATTTCGTTCTGTTGTACACAGTGTCGCTGTGAGTTGGAACCAACTCGATGGCACCTAATAACCAATAAAGAAAATAAAAAGAGCTAACAATCAAATTCATCATTTTTACTATCTATTTTGATAAATGACTTGAAAGAAAAAGAAGCTTGCAATTAAGAGGTCATAGTGAAGATTTTGATAGACTGGTTTGAGATTATTTTTAATATAAAAATAGCTCATTTGATGCTTTAGCATTTAAACAGAATTTTTATATCATTTGATCCACATATGAATAAAAAAGTATACAAAGAAATTGCTACTTTACAAAGATCACACAACTATTCCAAGGGACAGGGTCCCACGTCTGATTCCTAGTCTTCCTTTACAATGACTAAACTTTGAAAATGATGGTGAAGAAATGGTGCCAGATTTCAAGGGACACCAAAATAGTAACCTACTAGTTCTGAATCTTCAGTTGCTCTTCCTTTTCTCTTAAATGTTACCACTTTTCTGCAAGCTTTCATCCTTAACACCTCAGACTCTTCAGATGGATAGATATATTTTGTTTATGGCAAGAAAAAAATGCCACCATGTGCTCACTCAAAAGAACTTTTCTGACAGGTATTTTGAGAGGAATTATGAAACATTCTGGTAATTTGTATAGAACTGTTGCTATTTCTGCTTCATAAACAAAAAATTTGTTTGGAAGTCTTGTAAGTTACTCATATTGGAGAATGAAAAAATGCTGCACTTGAAAATTGTAACTTTCAAAAACAAGCAACTTCTTTACTCCTCTAATTTATTCTTACATTTCTATTGAGCCTTTGTGGTAGATTTTAAAGTTGGCCCCAGTTCTTTACCCCTTCTGCATCCACACCTTTTGCCATGTGAATTTACAGCTCCTTTCACTAAAGAGGAGCCCTGGTGACGTAGTGGTTAAGAGCTTGGCAGCTAACTGAAAGGTTGGTAGTTTGAATCCACCAGCCACTCCTTGGAAACACTATGGGGCACTTCCACTCTGTCCTATAGGGTCACTATGAGTCGGAATTGACTCAATGGTGACGGGTTCACTAAAGAGACAGAGCCAATTTTCCTATCCATTGAAGCTGATTTTATAGCTAATAGAATGCAGGAAAAGTGACACTGTGCCAGTTCTGAAACCAGGCTTCACAGATTTGCATATTTTTACTTGTTCTACTTTATGCCTCAAACTTCACTGTGAGAAAGACATCTCTGGATGAGCCCAATGGTCCAAAGAGGAGGATGAGA